CTTGGGTCCCAGACCTTTACACAGTGAATGTGAATTATGAATATTCATTAGGTCGAAGGCTAATATTATTGAATATATTCAATAGTTCAAAGGTTAATCTTTTTATTTATTTACAAGTTTAAAGGTTAATCATTTCTTTGCAAGTTCAAAGATAAATCCTTTAAGTTTATGAATTTAGTGTTACAAGTAATATTTACAATTCATTTAAATGTCAAAGCATTATCCCTCAGGCTGTGGGGGCCCAGAATAGACAGGGCCTTACCTTAGAGATGTATTGATTACTTACAGAACAGTGGACACACTTAACGTACCTACTCCATATATGGTAATAAAGGAATAAATCTTGTTGACGGGAAGATAAACAATCTATTGTTATTACTTACATGGTAATCTCATGATCCTGTAAAGGCCACCCTTACAATGTTGGAGGATGAGCTACAACTATGTGTTATGAATCTTTAAAACCTTAAGTTTGGTTTATTTCTTTCAGAGTAATGTTCCCTGGTCTGCTGGTCAACTTATTTGTTGTTGGTATGAAATTACTTTACTGGCAAAATATAATGGAACTATTCACCTAATCAGATCGAAGCATTTTGTTATATAAACATTAAAATTTCCTCATTAAAGAGTAAACTGAATTAAAAAGAAAGATTCTTTACTTTTTCAGTAACAATGGCTAATATAGGACCATTGTTAGTTAGTTAGTTAGCTGTGTAGTAGGACCTACACAGTATTTAACACAACATTCTTTGTATCAGTTTTGAATGGTCTCCCAACAGCCAGATCCACACATATTCCTACATATGCCTGCCTATATAGGGAGACACTGCCAAAAGTTTCAAAAGTAGAAAAATCCCAGATTCTCTTATGATACACATGCAATAGGATATACAGCAGGTATATTGTTGGTTTCTCCAATAAACTTCAGCTGATGACACCCCCATCCCCCCTTCTTTCTTTGATAGAGTCATGTAAACAGTAAATTCACCTTGAGGAACCATTTTGTATATTCTATCAAATCTCAAAAGTAAACATACAATTAAGGACCAAGGAAAACCTACAGAACAAATTTGAGAAAGATCTTTCCAGCATTTCCAGAGAAATAGCGAAAACGAACAGTCACTGTCAAAAATACAAGATAGGTGTCGGCTATTTTGTTTATTTAAACCATCTCAAAATTGAACATGTTAAATAAGAGACAAACAGGAACCTACATATAAAAATTGAGAAAGATCCCTGAAGTCTTTTCTGAGAAATAGCAATAAAAATCATTCACTGTCAAAATCCAAGATGGTCGCCCCCTCTGCCTTTTTTTTATAGGAACCATCTCAAAGTATAAAACATGCACAACAAGAGGCCAAGGGTAACCTACATATCAAATTTAAGAAAGATCACTCATGTACTTCTTGAGAAATAGAGATAACAAACGTCCACTGTCAAAATCAAAGATGGCTGCCTGTCATCTTAGATTCTAGAGAGGAATCCATACATCGTGTTATCTAATGCGACACTTTCGAAGAAGAGGGGGCGTGAGAAAATGATTCTACATTGAGGGATATCATTTTAATCAATGTTGAACTTCAAGGAAGTGGCAGTCAACTGATAAATATCAGTCGTTATCGGGACTTGCAGGTTCTACTACACGAAATGCTAAAAGAAAAGTAGAATGTGACATCTTATTGTCAGGACCATTTTTATTGACAGAAAAAAATGCCTGTGAAAACACAGTATCATATATATTATATTATGAATTAATTTAATGAGTTGTGTTGTGACAAATCTTTTTATTTTTCAGCTTTGAGTTTGGTATTGTGGATGAGGATGAGCTAGATCTGCTAGAAGACCAGTTCAATGAACGTAGAATGTACCTTTTGCATCATGAAAAATATTAAAGTTCTAATTTAATATCTACTTTTCTTATATTTTTTTGGCGAAAAAAGACGTTGCACACTATGACCCTCTTTTTTATTTTCATGAAAAGGGTCATCACCCTCTTTCAGTATATCTGGGGTTGGCAAATAATAAAATAAACAATAATTCTAGTTCACACTGGTAATATATAGAATAATCCCCATCTGTGACGAGCAGGTCTGTTCACTTGGATGGTTAACATATAATCCACAGGTCTAATTCCTTTAATTGAGAACAGAATACTTGCCCATCTTAAATGAACAACTGACTTCCCAGCCACTTTCTTCTTCTAAGGACTTATGGTCATATTTTGATGAAATTAGGTTATATTGTGCTGTTTAAATGTACTGAGAGTAAAGAGTACTTTCCTTCCAGCTCAAAAACGGTCCCACTTTGAAAGTCACCACTATATGGTCGGTGCAGTGACCTTTCCCATTCTATAACTACATATCCTCCCTATAGAAGTCATTAGAATTGCAGCAAATTCTGTAATATTCAGTCTATGGCAACCTGATATGTATAAACTTTGTTCTCCTACTTAAGTTTACCCTTTGATAAATTTGTGTCAAACTGCAAAGACAGCATGTAACATTTGGAATGCTGCATAGTTAGTACTACACTGATGAACTGCATCACCACTTAACAGATCACCATGTACATAACAGATCACCACGTACATAACAGATCACCACGTACATAACAGATCACCACATACATAACAGATCACCACCTACATAACAGATCACCATGTACATAACAGATCACCAGGTACATAACAGATCACCATGTACGTAACAGATCACCATGTACGTAACAGATCACCACTTAACAGATCACCATGTACATAACAGATCACCAAGTACATAACAGATCACCACGTACATAACAGATCACCACGTACATAACAGATCACCACGTACATAACAGATCACCACGTACATAACAGATCACCACGTACATAACAGATCACCACGTACATAACAGATCACCACGTACATAACAGATCACCACGTACATAACAGATCACCACGTACATAACAGATCACCACGTACATAACAGATCACCACGTACATAACAGATCACCACGTACATAACAGATCACCACGTACATAACAGATCACCACGTACATAACAGATCACCACGTACATAACAGATCACCACGTACATAACAGATCACCACGTACATAACAGATCACCACGTACATAACAGATCACCACGTACATAACAGATCACCACGTACATAACAGATCACCACGTACATAACAGATCACCACGTACATAACAGATCACCACGTACATAACAGATCACCACGTACATAACAGATCACCACGTACATAACAGATCACCACGTACATAACAGATCACCACGTACATAACAGATCACCACGTACATAACAGATCACCACGTACATAACAGATCACCACGTACATAACAGATCACCACGTACATAACAGATCACCACGTACATAACAGATCACCACGTACATAACAGATCACCACGTACATAACAGATCACCACGTACATAACAGATCACCACGTACATAACAGATCACCACGTACATAACAGATCACCACGTACATAACAGATCACCACGTACATAACAGATCACCACGTACATAACAGATCACCACGTACATAACAGATCACCACGTACATAACAGATCACCACGTACATAACAGATCACCACGTACATAACAGATCACCACGTACATAACAGATCACCACGTACATAACAGATCACCACGTACATAACAGATCACCACGTACATAACAGATCACCACGTACATAACAGATCACCACGTACATAACAGATCACCACGTACATAACAGATCACCACGTACATAACAGATCACCACGTACATAACAGATCACCACGTACATAACAGATCACCACGTACATAACAGATCACCACGTACATAACAGATCACCACGTACATAACAGATCACCACGTACATAACAGATCACCACGTACATAACAGATCACCACGTACATAACAGATCACCACGTACATAACAGATCACCACGTACATAACAGATCACCACGTACATAACAGATCACCACGTACATAACAGATCACCACGTACATAACAGATCACCACGTACATAACAGATCACCACGTACATAACAGATCACCACGTACATAACAGATCACCACGTACATAACAGATCACCACGTACATAACAGATCACCACGTACATAACAGATCACCACGTACATAACAGATCACCACGTACATAACAGATCACCACGTACATAACAGATCACCACGTACATAACAGATCACCATGTACATAACAGATCACCACGTACATAACAGATCACCACGTACATAACAGATCACCATGTACATAACAGATCACATCAAGACTATTATTCAGCCAGCTACGAAAACTACATGTATAATCAATCTAAATTCATAGTAAGATATCAAATACTGGGATCAGTGTGTGATTTTATGAAAATAAAACATCTCAATGTTGTGGAATAATATAGTTTTGTTTGCTTGTTGACATATAACTTTGTAGTGAAACACAGGGACTGTACTGTCAGTCAGCCAAAACCAAATATAATGTTCCATTTTGCGGGACAAGATTAATATCATGCTCTACTCCATTTATCCCTCGACCAACACGCCAGAAAAACAGTTTGATACATAAGGATCTCCATCCCACTGCAAGCAAATCACTACAGAATTCCACTGCAGTTTTCCACATCCAGTAACCATCACTGTAACCTCCCATGAATTTCTTTTTGGTTATAATTGTGCCAGGGTATAAATGTTGTCTGGGTAAACTCCATTGGTAAGAGTGACAGTAGCGTAATGCTGGCCTGGCTTCGCTACATTTTTACACTCAAAATACTGTTGTTGATTTATTTTATCTTGATCAATTTTTATCTTCATTACATTTTCATCAAAGTCCCACTATATATGGTCTTCTTTTCAGAAATGTTTTATCAATGCTGTTGTCAGGCTGGAAAACCCTTTCCAATGTGTAGTTAAAGTTTGTCAGTGGTATAGTGATCCTTTAAATGAATGATCACTTGAGAAAGGAGATCACTCCGCATTACTCACCTCCTCCTTTTTCCGCCGTTTTTCATCTTCCTTGATTTTCTGTTGTTCCTTGCGTTGTTTTTTCGAGGTTTTCATCTTGGAGGCCCAGCTGCCACTGTCATTGAGGTCAAGGTCGGCACTGTCCATACTTGTAGCCATCATCCCACCAAAACGATCCTATGGTAGAAAGATTGGATTGTTACTATTCTGCTTGTCCAATACATTTTGAGATTCAGTATTTTGACAAGAATTAAAGGCAGATTATTTTAATGTGCATTTAGAAGAGCAACCTAAGCTGAATTACTAAAGCATGTATCATGCATGTAGTACTTGTATTTACCCCGACATGGACATAACGATTCTCCTCAATGTGATTAATTAGGTGATATTTAAGAAGTAACTGAAGCAAAAAATGTGGGTCATTGATGAAAGTATTATCTATGTAGCACTAGTAGTTACCCGAATAGATGTAATGATTATTCTTAATGTGATATTGATATAATTATGATGGAATATGAAGCATGGGGTCAAATTCAGCCTCTGAAACTACATTTCAGTATAGCGACCCTTAGACTTACAGTTGTCCAGATATGGACTGAATGTTTCTTCTTAATGTGCAAGGCCCACAAACCCTGTTTCTGCATATCCTGTCAACTTTGTCGAGAATGGGGGAAAAGACAAGAGTTTCTATTTGGAAGGATAAAAATTGTTCGCATTCTATAAAATGCCAAAATTCAAGAGAATTCAACAAAAGCAAGAGCCCCGCCAGGTGCCTGACCATAACCCCCCCATCCCATAGTCTATTTTTAATAACAGTAACCTTGGCCTTGAAAACTGTTTAAACCCCTATTACTTATCTACATATCAGTGTATCAAAAAGTAAAATTTAAAAAGATCAGTCTTTTGGAAATCCAAGATCCCCCCCTCCCCTCCCCGAAACGAAGAATGAAGGTGTGGTGGACAGACAGACTGCCATTGTGATTACTATAGGGCACTTGTGTCTCTGATGCGGGACCTAATTAGCAGTAAGGACATGTCTGATACAGTAATGGAGCACACTCATGTTATCCTCAATGACAGTGATACAATGAGGACCACAACAATACACCCCAGATCTACTTACCCGCGGCAAAGTGGCGTACTCCCTCTCTCCGTACCCTAGGTCCCTGTAATGACCTGCAAAAAATATGACACTCTTGTAACAAAATATGTGAATCCAAGCATGAAGATAAGTTTACACAGTTAATAGAAACAAAACTATTTCATCTGTCAGTTGTTTATTTGATAGGTAATAAAACAGTTTGCTGTTAAATATTATATAAGAAATATTCAATCAAAATTGTGCACAGGGCCATCAGACCTGCGATTTGTTTTGCCCGGGTTTTAGAGCAGACTGGTCATTTCGTATATAACTTTGTCCCTATAATTCAGCGACTCCACTATTCACACAGTTGTAGCTGACAAAATGGTTCCTCGATTACTGCGGCTTAACAATGCCAAAATCACCAATTATTTATGATTAGTCCAAAACATTTATTATTATCAGGGTTCTTTATCATTCATGAAGCTGTTATATTGTTATGAAGATTGTTCATTATTTATCAGGGTTGTTAACTCATTCACCCGTTTCATAATGAACTATTCCAACCTGAATTGAACGAGTTTATCAAGGCTGTTTATTATATATCAACACCGGTTATCAATTTCTGTTTGTTTGTTTTTTTCAATAATTTCTCACTCTAGTTTATTATTTATCAAGACCACTCTTTATTTATCAAAGGTGTTAAATTATTTTTTAAGGGCCTTTATCAATTATGAATACTGTTTCTGATTTATAAAGCCTGTTTATAATATACTATATATCAACTCTGTTTAGCTTTCATCAATACTGTTTCTGATTTATAAAGACTGTTTATATTATACTATATATCAAATCTGTTTATCTTTCATCAATACTGTTTCTGATTTATAAAGCCTGTTTATATTATACTATATATCAAATCTGTTTATCTTTCATCAATACTGTTTCTGATTTATAAAGACTGTTTATATTATACTATATATCAAATCTGTTTATCTTTCATCAATACTGTTTCTGATTTATAAAGCCTGTTTATATTATACTATATATCAAATCTGTTTATCATTTGTTGAAGCTGTTTCTGATTTATAAAGCCTGTTTATAGTATACTATATATCAAATCTGTTTATCGTTTGTTGAAGCTGTTTCTGATTTATAAAGTCTGTTTATATTATACTATATATCAAATCTGTTTATCGTTTGTTGAAGCTGTTTCTGATAGATAAAGCCTGTTTATATTATACTATATATCAAATCTGTTTATCTTTCATCAATACTGTTTCTGATTTATAAAGACTGTTTATATTATACTATATATCAAATCTGTTTATCTTTCATCAATACTGTTTCTGATTTATAAAGCCTGTTTATATTATACTATATATCAAATCTGTTTATC